AGAAGACATGTGGAGTATGAAGCGATCCTGTTGGTTTGTACAAGTGATTCTTACAGACTAAAAGGGAAAATGATAGAACAACTGTAGAGGGTCCCTCGTCGGTTCCCGTTAGTAAATCTATTACTTACATCCTTTGTCTATTGCAACCAATCGCTTCCACCAAAATGATCGCCTCATTTTTCCTCCTATTTTATATGTCCGTCGAAGGCAGTTAGTCACATCAGGCATTTTATCAAATGCTTGGGCCGAAGGTTAAATTGTATACAGCACGCACTACATATAACGAAGAGACTTAAACGCAAGGGTAGGAACATAGGCGGTTCTACGGGGGTGCCAGTGGGTGCCGGGCACCCCCAAGCAAAAATTAAGTACGGTTATCGGAACCGTGAAATTACTGATTTTAAAGATTCTGTATTCACTTGAGAAAAAAACCCAGCAATTAATTGAATTTTAAACAGAATTAATATTTATAGCCGTGTATTACAAAGATTCTACTGTTTTTAGTGTATTTTCCGAAGAAAATACACTATTGCATTCTCCCATGATGTCGGACCCAGACCCGAGACCTTGTGAAGAGCACCGATCACGGGTCGTAGATCACGAAAATATATGCCATTCAAATTCATGTGTATGTATATATATGTATGTATGTATGTATGTATGTGCGTCTCAGGATAGGTCACACTTTTTTCACTCACAACCATATCATATCTAAAGAAAACCAACCCATCTGCCACTTCTGCAATTCATCACCTCTAACCATCAAACACATACTTATGGACTGCTCTTCCCTCCGACATCTCCAATCACAGATCTACTCCCCTACAATCAACAGAAATACAAACCCTCTTACATGCGATGAACCTAATATTGCCACCAAAATTCTGAAACTCTTCACCTCTCAATTTAAAAATCTAAATTTTCGTTTATACTCCTATATATTTTCAAAATTACCTGTAAAGACGTTAATAGCCTAAGTCGCTGAATGTCTCAAAATTATAATAACTAACTAACTAACTGTATGTATGTATGTATGTATTTATTTCCGCCTTTTTAAGATTTTTCGATTTTTGAGGAGTTATATCTTTCTTACGTTGAAAGATATTTTGACCAATTTTTTTGCATTTAGTAGAAACTCATTAGAACTACTATTCTGCGAAGAAAAATTGAAATTCGAGGCATTAGATTTTGAGGGGTGGGACTCGAAAGTGGGGGGAGGTCAAATCTTGTCCACTCAATAACTCGAGCGAAAATGAATATTTTGAGCTGAAATTTTTACGGGTGGTAGTTCTCCCCTAGGACTGGTTTGGTATTGAATTTGAGCTAAATCGGCCGAGCAGTTTAAAAATGGCGAGCTTTGAAAGTTTTAGGCGAGGGGTGCGCGGCATGAGGGGAGCCGGCCGGAGCAAGGCCGCTCAGTGGGTCGGGGGAGAAAGTTTTTGGACAAGCTGATCGGCGCACAGTGGGTCAGGGGGAAGAATTTTTTGGACAAAATTTTCGTCGCACAGTGGTCATTAAATTTATACACTAAGTAGAAAGGAAGGAGAGAAAAAGAAAAAGGAAGGTAGGAAAGGGATAAAACTTGAGGGCCGAAACTTAGGCCTCCCCTAAGCGACCGTTCCCTTCGGGGCCGGTCTCTGACATTTTCCACCTCTGGGCACCTCCAAGCATGAAGGTCTAGAACCGCCTATGCCCACAGAGCTTCACACATTCCATGATTGCCCCTTTTGCTCTCAAGATCACACTTCAAATGTGTCAGATATAGATTCAATGTACACAGAATCATCATTGGAGGGGAGGGGGGCCTGTTCGACCAATCGATAATACGCCCTTACTTACATCTAATGGATGTAAAGTGAAATAACTGTACATAGTGCAAAAGTTGGAAAAGGAAATGCGAAAAATTTTCCGGAACTCCGAATTTAAAGGCATGCAACAAAAAGCAAAGGGTTTAATATGCGCATATATTGCGTTTATTTTCGTAACTTGCGGCAGCTCTAGGTCAGGGGCCAGTTTTCAAACCTTGGTGACCCCTAGAGGGAGATTCCCCTCACACATGGTGGAGGCGCCGGGTATCATATGGGAAGTCCTCCTGTAGGGGCACCAGGGTTTGAAAACTGGCCCCCGACCCAGAGCTGCCGCGATATTCTGCTTCGTTTCCGCTATGCGCAACATCAGAATTGCGTAGCTCCTAGTCAGGAATTGACCAGTTATCAAGGAGAAAATGACGAGCTGAAAAATACTTGGCTTGAGACGAATAGCAAAAATTGCCGAACAAACGGAAGAGGCTATTTGGACGCAGGTTCTAGATCACAGCGATCGCCTATTCGCACTGATCTCACGATCCGTCTACGCCAGCGGGGCGATTATTGAAACTTATAGACAAAGATGACATAGGGAGTCTGGAGCGATCCTACTGGTTGACATAGTTGGTTCTCATAGACTAAGGGGGAAAATGATAGACTAACTGTCGGGTCTCTCGTGGGTTGCCGTTAGTTAGTCTATTACCTACCTCCTTTGTCCATTGCAACCACCCGTTTCCACCAATAGGATCCCTCCAAATCCCTTTTGTCGTCTTTGTCTATTGCTTTGTCTATCAGTTTCAATAATCGGCCCGCAGCGCGAGTTCCCATCTCACTGGCCGCCAGGCTCCGCGAGTGCGCAAACGCATGTGCGTCCTGCGGTAGCAAGGCAGAGAGTAACGTTGCCGAAAATCTCGGATATGAGGAAACGTCACCCGCCGACAGTAGTAAGCAAAAGAGAAAAAAAGGGGGGAAGTGCATACAGGGTTATCCAAAAGTCACTGACCACCCCTGTAACTTTTTTCCTAATTGAGATAGAAGTTTGAAACTTTGGGAATGTTCCTCGGTTTAAGGTAGCAATTTTTTGGTCTCCCCCAAATTTTGGGGGGCGGGGTCTAACTTTTTTTTCAAATGGTAATCCCCCTTTTGTGTTACCTCATTCGAAAGATAATTAGGAAAGAAAATTTTTGGCGCAAACCGCAGGTCAAAATGTTGAGTTCTGACAAAATGGCGGCCGGTCACAATTCTAAATGGCGGAAATCTGACATCTCCGTTGTGTGTTGACGGATTGGCGTCAAACTCTGAATCCTAGGATTTTTCAAGACGAGAAAAACGATTCTGGCATTGATTTTCCAGAAAAGTCAGTATTTTTCAAAATGGTGGCCTAGAGTGGGAAGTGGATATTTAGGCTGCTTATCGTTGAATTTGTATGAAACTTGGTATCCGGGGGTAGTTCGGCACGAGAAGAACGAATCTTTCATTTGATATCTGAAATTCCGACATACTGCAAAATGGTTTCAACTGAGTTTCAAAATTCTCGAAAAAATTATTGTTCAAAACTTCCCTGATGATGAAATTCCAACAAAACTTTCAGGGGTTATGGGTCTCAACCAGGAGTAAGTAAACCCCTTAAAACGAACTTCCTTGACCTCTTTAAACAATTTTAAAAATCAAAAGGAAAAAAGAGAGACTCAGTGCCCCGGTCTCTCCTCGCTGACGGTCAAGATATCACCGAGGACGAATGCAGCCTGCCTTCAGGTTTATTTTTGTTTTAAAACGGTGGATCAAGAGGACATATGTTTGGTTGTGTTTTTGAATGCTCTGCGTGGAAGGTTCATGTTCACCTGAAACTTTAAAAGAGATAGGAAAGTGGAAAAAGTACGAACGACGAACGAGTGGCGTGAGGAATAGGATGTCCTGTCCTCTACTCGACGTATAAATGTATTCATTTCTGGCTCGGCCTATCTCCTTTTTAAATTTTGGATAAGGCAACCCTAATTTTGAATACAGTAAGGTTGGCAGAGAGTGTGGCAAGTGATAACCGTCAACAGTTAGCAAGAATCCCCCCTCCTATCATCAAAAACCAAGATCAAGCTCCGTTTTTAGGTCCAAAGGCGTCCTTGGGACATCATGTTCTAAGTAATAAGTATGACATCGTCACAGCAAACTAAAGGGTTTCAACATTGAATTTCAGAGCTTAATGTGACTGGTAAATCATCAGACAAATTTCAGGCATGGCAGTGAATATACAGGGTGTCCCAAAAGTCCGTAACCCCTCCCCCCCTTGGTAACTTTTGAACGGTTAGAGATAGAAAAACGAAACTTTGGGGATGTTTCTATCTCAAAGGGGACCATCTTCTAGGGAGTTCAAAATGTTCGTTCCTCCCTCATGGGAGGGGGGGGGGCATTCCCTACCTTTTTTTTCAAATGGTAACCCCTCTCCTGCGATACATCATTGGAAGGATTACAAGAAACTTGGAATTTGGCGCAAACCGTAAACCAGTTCCGGCAAAGTTCGAAAAACGAAATTTAATGTGATTAAATTTAACAGTTTAAATTTCGTTTTCTTAAAACTTTGCACGGAATTTTGGGACTTGAAAACGCAATGTTGAATTAATTTTGAACTTTCCGAGACGATGTTGAGGCAAAGTAAGAGGGAATTGGCTCATTTCACTGGATAATCGTATGACCTTTAAATTGACGTATTTGAGGGTCCGCACCATCCCCCCTTAAAATTGGTTCGAAGTGATATCTGTGAATTGTACTTAAAAGTGTTTGCAATTTGGTAAATTTTCCCGTCTTGTTTTTTCTCTACGATAATTTGAACCAGAGTTATGATGTTTTGAAAATAGGTAAAATTTGATCTTTGACCTACCATAACTCTGTCAAAAATTAAAATATCGATCTGCGGTTGGCGCTAAAATTCTTAGGTTTTTGTTTTCTTACCTACTTATGGTGTATTAAAAGATAGGGGCTACTATCTGAAAAAAAAGGTTGGGGGCCTTCGCGCCCCCCCCCCCTCCGAGGGAGGGACAAAAATTTTGAACTCTCTTGAAGATGGTCTCTTTTGAGATAGAAATATTCCCAAAGTTTCGTTTTTCTATCTTTAACCGTTCAGAAGTTATTAGGGGAGATGGCGGACTTTTGGAACGCCCTGTATTCGTCCATCGTCCATTTTGAGAATTCAAAATTGTTTAATTTTTATTCTTGTTGACTAGATTTCAGCCATCTCAAGCAGATGTTGTCGTTTTCAATGAATTGAACAAAACTCCAGCTCTTTCTACTCCTAACGTTCTAAGATGGTACAATCACATGAAATCCTTTGATACTAATGAAAAGAAGACCTTCCCCAACAAACAAGCTCCTGCCAAATTCACTGGTGGAAGTGGGTCTGCGGCAACCAAGAACGAAGATGATGCTGATGATGTAGATTTATTTGGGTCTGATGATGAAGAGGAGGTTTGTAGTATTTTTCAATCTTTAAATCGCATTTTCATCTAATTTCATACAAGTAATCTGCCCATTTTTGCCCTGATCTTGTTTGGTGCGCAGTTTCAAGCATTTGATTCAAGTCATCAATGACGATAATCCTGCAACCCAAGTGAAGTAGGTTGTTAGCTGAAAGGACCCCGCACACCTCTTATGGGAAGCTGCACCATGACCGATTGCCTTCTGACTTACGTCATTTGATTCTCCTCAAGATGTTGATCAAAAGTTACATTTGCGCCAACAATTTTGCTCTTCCGCCTACTTCCCGACGGAGAGTCACTCTCGCTTTACAGGATTTCGGGTGTAACTTCCGGCTCTTAGTCAACAACACTCTGGTTTTAATGTTGATATTCTCCAGATCAGTGGTGGTCCATTTGATAACTCCGAAAGAGTATGTCAAGACTGGCACAGCAAAAGTATTAATAGCTTTAAACAGATTTCTTGAGTTCAGTCTAGAGCGTAACAAGACCCTGAGACGCTGCTCATAATGCTGTTGAACCATATGCTTAATGTCACTATGGTTTAGTCTGCGATTCTGTTGGAATCCTAGGTATTTGTAGGAATCATTTTCATCCATTTGTTCGACAATTGTACCATAGAGAGTCTGATCTTCCTCCTCTTCCACCACCTTTCCGCGATATAAATTCAGAACTCTGCACTTCTCCAACCCGAACTCCATGTAAATATCAGCGGATACGGACTCCACAACACCCAGCAAGATCTTAAGCTCACCCGGCGATGAGGAGTAGATTTTAATATCATCTATGAACATCAGATGACTGAAAATATACAGAGTTTGTCTGCGCTCTTTAATGTGAAACCCAAGTTCAGTGTCTTTCAAAGCATTCGACAGGGGATTCAGGGATAAACAAAACCACAACGCACTGAGCGCATCTCCCTGGAAAATTCCACGTTTAATGTAAATAAATTCAGTTTCCAATTGGCCGTCCTCCGTTTTGAGGGAGATTTTCGTTTTCAAATTTTTCATTACGGATGCCAGGAAGTGTCTCAACACAGGGTGTTTCTTGTAGATTTCGAGGACTCTTAATAACCAAGAATGAGGCACCATGTCAAACGCCTTACGATAGTCGATGAATGTGGTGTTCAAATTTCTGCGGTTCTTTTCCGTTTGCTTCAGAATAACACTATCCACTATTAACTGCTCCTTGCAACCTTTGCTCTGTTTTCGGCACCCCTTCTGCTCCTCCGTTAGGACATCATTCGATATCAAGTGCCGATCAATTTTCCTACAGAGGGTCGCTGTAATTATCTTATAGATGGTGGGCAGACAAGTGATGGGACGATAGTTCGCAGGGTTCTTTGTGTCTTCATCTTTTGGTTTAATGAACGTCCTTCCCTCTGTTAAAAACTCGGGTGCCAATTCGGGATGCTGAACGATTCTGTTGGCTTGCTGTGTTAGGTGTGCATGCAATACAGGGAAGTTCTTATACCAAAAGTTTTGTACACTGTCGACACCTGGACATTTCCAGTTATGGGTGCCCCTGATAGTCTCCGCAAGCTCATTTACAGTGATAACATGGTTTGTCTGCTCTGGCACGGTTTCCTGCCGGGCAATTTCTTTTTCAATCCATTCACCACCCTCCCGATGCTGCACAGGATTAGACCAGAGATTTTTCCAGAAAGCGGTCACTTCTTCTTTCTTAGGTGGTGTAACTGGTATCTCCTTCGAGGTCAGATTCCTGTAGAAGGCCTTTTCATTTCTATTGAAGAGGGCATTCTGGTTCTTTCTTTCATTGGACTCGTTATACCTTCGAAGGCGAGCTGCGCAAACAGCGAGTTTCATCTTCGAAATATCTTGGGTTTCCGCGACGGTCTTACTTTTGTCCCTGATGATAAGACTAATCTCTTTCTCCAATTTCTTAGTTCTGACACCTCTTAAATACTGAGTGGTTCGACCAATTTCCTTCCGCAATCTCTCGATCTTTTTCTCGAGTCTCAGTTGCCAGGCAGGTTTCCTCCTTCTTTTTGGACATTGCTCACCCTGCGACCTTAACTTCTGGCCATTTAAAACTGTGACAGTGCAGGCACAAGCGTAGACGACTAAGTAGATCTCTTCGAGATCCGCCTCCTCTGAGATGAGTTCATTAATGATCTTATTATTAATAATCTTTATGCGGTCTTTGCACATCCTATTCATCCAAAGTTTTGGAATTGCTGGCCTTAGATTTGGATTACTCCCTCTCCATTTGTCTCTGAAGAATCTAATCTTCTCACGAGTTTCCAGTTCCATCGAGTCTTCAAAACTTGGTACACTATCCGCTGAATCGACAAACCTATGAATTGGATATGCTCTAGGGGACACCACCCCATCCCTAGCATGACGAGAGAATTCATCGACTGATGATGGCGTGAAGATAATGTCCGCCTCAGTAGGAGTAGATGCAATATGTAACTCATGAGCAACTTCTCTCTTTATTTCCTCGATTTCCTGCACTGTTTATTTCTTGTTGTTGATGATTACCCGTTTCTGATCCACTAGCCTCTGTTCAGTGACATTAGTTAGATCAGGGTACGCTGCCAGGAACAACTGACGTAGTTGGAATCTGTACCCTGATGCGTTGGTGTCTAGTCGTGTTGCTCTATAGAAGCAACGCATGACATCGATGTTCATTTCTCTAGTCCAAGTCATGCGCTGCCTCGGAATTCCTGCCTTGGTGGCTGCCGGCTGACTTGCCAGTAAAACACCGGAGGCAGGAGGTGAAGGGGATCTGCTCAGGGTTGGCCGTCGTACCGTTAGACGCTGGGCTGATCCACGGCCGTCCTCAGCTCCAGCGTTGTGAGGATGAACTGATACGTCAACTACCTCACAAGTTGACGCAACCGAGGCTTCTTCTTGATGATTTACTGCAAGACACTCGATAACCTGTCATAGGGCTGCAAACCCTATGACAGGGGGCTCGCGGCTGAGAACCTTAGCTTGGGACGAGTCCAAACCTACTTCCTGGGATGCCACGGGTTTGGATTTGGCCGACCAGATTGTTCCCATCCGCTTGCTCGGGTACCTCGGGGTCGCCAGCCCAAAGGAGCCTCCCGTGCAACACATTGTGTTGCCCCTGCGGTATATTTTTAACAACGTTTTACGATTTTAACAACTTTTTTCGATTTTAATACCTTTTTACGATTTTAACTTTCATATTTTAGCAATTTCAAGTCAAATTTTAGGAATTTTAAGTCAAATTTTAGTAATTTTAAATCAAATTTTAGCAATTTCCAATCAAATTTTAGCAATTTTAGAAGGCTCTAGCTTTGAAAGACTTGGCTACGGTCCGTCTTTCAATGAGTTTCTTTCCACAAACGTATGTTTGTGAGAAAAGTACTTATATAAATATTAATAATAAATTAATTTTAAATTTAATAAAAAATAATTAAATATTATATATTGATATAATTTACTAATATTAATATTTAATTTTAAATTTAGTAAATTTAATTTTTTTTTTTTTTAAATTTTTTTTAAATTTTTTTTTTAAATTTTACTTTAAAATAACGTTTACCCTTTTTTTTTCAAGCAAGATAGTATGTGTTACTGACTTTGGCCTGTGGCCCGTCAGTAATACTTGTGCCGGAAGTGTTCCCTCTTCTGAGTTACAAAAAAAAAAAATAAAAAAAATAATAATTATAATAACAATAATAATAATAATAGGGCTGGCGACCCCGCGGTACCCGAGCAAGTGTCTGGACATCCTCGTGGCCAAAACATCGCCAGGGGCGTCCAAGGAAGTAAAGTTGGGCTTGTCCCAACTTGAAAAACCGGCTGCGCATCCTTGGCTGGGGGTTTGCAGCCCCTAGTCAGTGATCTTCTTACACAAGACGATAAAAGAAGAGCCTCGGTCGCGTTGAGGGTTGGGGAACATGGCGCGCAAAATAGTCCCCACGCTGGGAACGAAGATGGTCGTGGATCGTCCCAGTGTATGGCACGACGGCCAACCAACAACACCAACCCTGCTCCAAGTGTTTCGTCGAGTAGTCAGCCGACGACCACTAAAGCAGGGAAACTCAGGCAACACATGACTTGGAGTCTAAGTATGAATCAACACGTCATGCGTTGTTATTACCTCGCGTCTAAAATGAAAACGATTCCTGGACACCGGGCGGAAATGCGGAAACTTTTTCTTGATAAGTTCCCTGACTGCGAAAATGTCTCAGAGCAGCGCCTAATGGACCAAAAGCGAGTGATACTGAAGTCTTGTAAAATGTCTGCTGATGTTCTGCAGAGTATCTAAGATGAAGTCCAACTTGAAATTTCTCGCGGTGAACGTGAAGACGAAGAAAACGTACAAGAGGCTGATCCCGCTTCAGTTTCTTGCGCAGATGGTCCAGTGGAACCAAGAGACATTGTACCGGAATTACACACTGATGAAGGCATCGTGCATGCGGAGCGTGATGAGTGTGCAACTGATACTGCTGACGAGAACGTTATCAAAGCTGATACGCTAGAGGTTGCATTTATTGCTGAAATGATCAAATGGCAAGGAGTCAGTCTGAATCTTAGACAGTCACTGCCAAAACTTCCTTACACTCCAAGTTGTTCGCGTGTATTGAGAGGATGGACCGAATTATACCAGCACACATTCGTGAAGAATCAACGCTAGAGGAGGTTCATTGCATCATCTATTGTGCAGCTCAGGCAATAACACAAGCCGTCAAAGGCCCCACTAATCATGGGCGTAGGGAAATCAAACTGAATGCACCAAGATGGCAACTCAGGATTGAAAGGAAAGTGGCCAACCTAAGGCAGGAGATTGGGAGAGTCACCCAGTGTGTCAAGGGAATGCCTCTAAGAGGGTAAGGGCGAAGATGGCCCATGTGAATGAAGAAAACCTTTTAACCCATCTAGATACCCTGAAGCAGAAGTGAAAAGTTCAAGCTGCCCGACTCAGAAGATATTAAAAATCGTACCAGCGCCATTTAGATAACGTTCTGTTTCAGCCAGAGACTGCATATGATATGCTTCGATAGCTCATAAAGGCACGTATCACGTCAAGTGTCGAGAGGCCGGATCGATTCATCGCGGACACTGGCTTCAAATCTGAATGGGATTCCCCTTTCTTTTGTTCTGCGATCAAAACTCAGGTAGACGGATGCGATGGGCCATCAATGCGGTTGAAATCTTGACATTTGAGGGATCGATCCAGTTTAAGCCGATCCGGTCGAAAAATAGTAGGCACCTTTTATTTAATGCATACTTATGCATCCGAGCTTATTCAAAAGTCACCTTGGTGTGTTCTGGAGGGGCAAGTACTCTGTTATTCCTAGTTACGCAGTCTATCAACTTCTCCAACTTTTTCAATTAGCCGAGAATTCAGCTCTCAGCAATCTTTGACAGTTGAATGTAATGCAATGCAGTGAAAAGTATAGTTTTCACCTGTTTATATCGCTCTTCAATGTTTAAAAAATAATTTTAATATTAAAGGAAGCATATTGCATTGTATACAAATTCTCGTATTAACGAATATAGCTCATTCATTTTTGTGAGACTTTTGTGGAAATATTCCATTGAAAACATGAATTCATGGTTGACAATACCCAGAGAAGTATCATAGTTACCTGCAAAAGAATTAAAAACGATGAATTTCCTATCATATGCAATGTTGTCGGTAATTTTCACAGGATGCTGAAGCAGCCAGAGTTAGAGAAGAAAGACTTAAAGCCTATGCCGCTAAAAAATCAAACAAACCAGCTTTAATCGCTAAATCTAGTATTGTTCTTGATGTGAAACCCTGGGATGATGAAACGGACATGAAAGAAATGGAAGCTAAAGTTAGGTCTATCACCAAAGACGGTCTTGTATGGGGAGCTGGTAAGTGTGATGATGCTATCTTGTTGCTATTTTATCGTTCCTCGTACTTGAAGACTACCTGAATCCTTAGTATCCAAATTACCATGTAAATTACTAATCAAGAAACGTAAAAGATACGAGGTCTGTTAGATTAGAAACCGGATTTTGGTCATAAGTAGCCCACAACGCGTCCGAATTAGGTTTTCTTGAGCTTTCCTGATAGCTGGAAATATACTTAAGAACGCTACGCTCACAGATTTTTATTATTTTGATCAGTGTTTAATCTGTGTCATCTTGAATACGAGTAAGTCAGGTACGTTTTGCGATTTTCATCATGTGATCACTGATAGAGCAAAGATTCAACATTAAATTTTGTTTTAAACTCGGTATACCTGTACCGAAACTTTTGGTACATGCTAAGTAAAGTTTATCATGATCATTGTATGAGATGTTCCCACTGTTTTGAATGGGTTAAACTATTCAAAACTGGTCAGGGGTTCGTCAAAGATGAGGAGCATGGGAATCGACCCTCAACGGCAACTGACATTTGTCACGTGGAAGAAGTGCGGGCAAAAGTGCTCGAAAGTGGTCGTTTCGAGCTTGTTGAACAGAGTAATATATCTGAACGCTCTGTACATACAATTTTGATAGAATATGTAGACACGCATCGAGTTTCAGGTACTCTTGCCCCTTGATAGTTGTCCGTTGAACGAAAATCCAACCAAATGTTAATTTCCCTTTAGCTGCTTGAACGTTCTAACAATGATCCTACATTTTTGGATAGGGTAATTTTCGGTGACAATACTTTAGTGTACGGCTATGATATGGAGATGAAACTCCAATCGTCCTTGTGGGTTGAAAAATATCGTGCAAGACCGAAAAAAGAGAGTCAAGTTCGGTCAAACATAAAAATCGCAAAACACCCTTGAGGTTCCCTTACTTCAAGCCACATACCAACGAAGCTAATTAGGATTTTTCAAGTTTGTGAACGTTAGCGTTCTTAAATATATTTTCAGCTATCAGAAAAGCTCAAGAAAACGTAATTTGGACGCATTGTGGGCTAGTTATGACCAAAATTTGGTTTCTAATCTAACAGACCTCCTATGTATCCGAATGTGTAAGAAGTACAATTGAATCGGCTCGTGCGAAAACCGCTAATGTCCATTTTTTTCAATTTTGAGATTTTTGGGTTAAAATACTCTCGGAGGTCAGACACACTCATTAATGTAGTGAAAATATTTGTTCCTTAGGTTTGAAGCCCTTTTCAGGGGGGGCCGTGGTCCGAATCATGCGAAAACCGCTAATGTCCATCTTTCGTTATATGCCTCATAATACTGTACAACAAACCGAAATAAAAAAATGTCTCCTGGACGACATTAGGTGATCTTTATGCATTTTAAGGCGCTGAATCCGAATATGAACTCAGTTTTTTTCTATCACCCTCCAATTTTCCGGAAAAGCCGATTTTAATCGGAATAATGATCATTTTTGGGCATTTTCGGTGTTTTTCCGACTGTTATCCCAACTGTAAAATTGGAGGGTGATGGAAAAAAACGGAAGTCATATTCGGATTCAGCGCCTCAAAATTCGTAAGGATAACCTTATTATGCCCGAAAGGCATACTGAAAAATATGCGTTTTCGATGATTTAGAACCGACCATGCACGAATCATGCGAAAACCGCTAATGTCCAGTTCATTGCTGGTAGTCCCGTGATGAAACTTGCTTTAAGTGCCGCAATTGTCAAGAATTTTAGTTTTTCAACTTTATTTGAATGATAATCTACCGTTTTAATATCTTTAGAATGAATTTTGAAAGTTTCAAACGGCTCCAAAACTCGGCGATTTTTACGAATCATGCGAAAACCGCTAAAGTCCAGAGTCCTTTTTTTTTAATTACTCCATCCCAGACTGAAGAGGAGCTGGAAACTGCTAGGGATCCTTTTCTACAATCCACTCTTGTAATAATCAACTTCTGAACATTTTTTAATCCCGCAATTAAAAGGTTTCTACAGTTTTTTGCAGTTTACTCAAAATAAGAGAAAATGGACATTAGCGGTTTTCGCACGAGCCGATTCAATTGAAGTAGCAAAAAGTTCGTATCAAATACGGTATCCAAATATCAAACAAACTGGCTATTTTTATTGTTTCTTATTGCCAGATACCTACTCAAATACACTTTCAATATGAGCCAGATACATCTATTTGCCATCTAGATGCCGTATTTGATGCGTATCTGAGAGCTCACTTCACTTACGTATGAGTGGTGGCGAAGCACAAAAAGTAACTGAGGTTTAGTTAATTTTTCAAGTAGCTAATGTATTTTTATAGAAAATGATGTCAACAAACGGTTTTCTATCATATTGGGAAGAACGTGAGAATGCCCCAATTTACTTTTCCCAAGCGCGGTCGGAAGTGGTGAGTCGAAAACGTAAATTGGGACGTTTTTCACGATGCTGCATCTTCTTTGTTCTTCGAGAAAACCTAACGTTATCATCATTATTATTATTTATCCTCTATTAACTTAATATTTACATTAAGGTACAAATCAGATACACCTTATCGCGGGCCTAAACGGAAGGCCTTAGCAGTAAAGGGTGAAGGAGGAGGAAGAACGTTTAGTGGGAGAGGCAGTATATCTAACCTACATAGGTTGTCCAAAAAGTAATGCAACAATAAATTTCTAGAGCGAACGGAAAAAGCTAAAAAAAATCAGTGTACATATTCGTGTCGCTGAGTAAAAACTGATAAAATGAGACCTTGTTGAGCTGTTCGGGTCCCAAATTCACCGAGACATGACGTTTTCCCGCGGCATGTTGAGAGACGCTGCAGGATTTTAGGGGTACTTTTTAAGAAGAAAGAACGATTCAGCAACAAATACTGCTTCTGTCTAAACAATAGTCCTGTTACACTTTTTCCATAATCTACAGGGTGTCCCAAAAATCCGTACCCCCCCCCCTCGTAACTTTTACACGGTTAGAGATAGAAAAACGAAACTTTCGGAATGTTTCTATCTTAAAGGGGTCCATCTTCTAATGGGGGTCAAAATTTTTGTTCCCCCCTCAGGGGGGCCGCGGGGGGCCCCCAACTTTTTTTTTCAAGTAGTAACCCCTATCTTGTGATACATCATTAGAAAGAGCATATAAAACTAAGAATTTTGGCGCAAACCGCAAATTAATATCCTAATTTTTGGCCGAGTTATGATAGGTCAAAGGTCAAATTTGACCTATTTTCAAAAAATTATATCTCCGGTTCAAATTATCGTGAAGAAAAAAACTAAACGGGAAAATTTACTAAATTGGAAGCACTTTCAAATAAAAATCACAGAAATTACTTCAAACTAATTTCAAGGGGGTTTCGGACCCCCAAATACGTCATTCTGAAGGTCATACGATATTCTCGCGGAATGAGCCAATTTCCCGTTACTTTTCCTCAACATTATCTGAGTTAGTTCAAAATTAGTTCAACATTGCGTTTTCAAGACCCCAAATTTCGTGCCAAGTTCAAAAAACGAAATTTAAGGTTATTCAATTCTACCATTTAAATTTCATTTTTTTTAAAACTTCGTTCGAAAGGGGACTTAAAAACGCAATGTTGAACTAATTTTGAACTTACTCAGATAATGTTGAGGAAAAGTAACGGGAAATTGGCTCATTCCGCGAGAATATCGTATGACCTTTAAAATGACGTATTTGGGGGTCCGAAACCCCCTTGAAATTAGTTTGAAGTAATTTCTGTGATTTTTACCCGAAAGTTCTTACAATTTAGTAAATTTTCCCGTTTTGTTTTTTTCTTCACGATAATTTGAACCGGAGATATAATTTTTTGAAAATAGGTCAAATTTGACCTTTGACCTATCATAACTCGGTCAAAAATTAGGATAATAATCTGCGGTTTGCGCCAAAATTCTTAGTTTTTTATGCTCTTTCTAATGATGTATCACAAGATAGGGGTTACTGTTTGAAAAAAAAAGTTGGGGGCCCCCGCGGCCCCCCTGAGGGGGGAACAAAAATTTTGACCCCCATTAGAAGATGGACCCCTTTAAGATAGAAACATTCCGAAAGTTTCGTTTTTCTATCTCTAACCGTTCAAAAGTTACGAGGGGGGGGGGGTTCGGACTTTTGGGACACCCTGTATATTGTACAGCTACAAGCAAAATCTTGGAAGCACTATTTCTGACGAACTGCTGGACCGACAAGGATGATCTTTACATGTATGTCATCTGTAGTAGATGTGGATGTGCAAAAAATTATGAGACCCCGAACTTTCAATGTTGTAGAGCTTTTAAAGCTCTATTCACTTAAGTCCAATGCTAACAGCGTGAGCGATATGTCGTTTCCGCTAGAAACGTCAAGGTGTGGGATTCTACCTGAGTTACTCGAATAAACAATAATACAGCTCGTGAGGGGCTCCTCATTTGAAGAGTTGAGGATCGGTGCATCGCTCAGGGTCCAAGGTATGAGGTTTAACTCAATTTTTCTTGCATTCTTTCGGCTTCGATTTGTGGCATTGGTCAATTTACTTGATTGCTAAATTTTTATTAATATTTACAGCAGATAAACAGCAGATACAAAGTGAGAAGGCAGGCTCTGCGTCGCGTCGGGACGGACCAAATATTATTAACTCTTAACGGTCGAAATCCGATTTTTTTTTTTTTAAATTAAGTATTTAAAAGTAACATAATAAATGGAAAGAGCCATGCACAAAGTGGCCCATTTTTGGGCCTTCGAAATTGGGGTCGAAGTGAGGTTTTTTTTCATCCCTAGGGTGACTCTTTACACTTACTAAAATTTCAGATTGAGTATACGCACCATTTTCGAGTTATGGGGGGGCAAAGTCCCCGATTTTCACCCATTTTTGCAGGTGTTTTAATATCGAACATCGGCTGTTACGAGGTACTAGATCTAGATATTGAAGCGCGGTTTTCGGTAATTTGTTCAGCTATTCCTGTGGTATTTTTCCACATCTTTCACAAAGCCCCAAATGGTTTTTCGGGGGGCCGGGAGGGAGGGCTTTATTCATACTACCATGACCGTTAGCGCATCTTACTGACTTTACTTTGTTCTCTTCTCTCCACGCCGTGGTCATGATGGTATTTTCCGTTGAGGATTTTTCTTCTTCTTTACATTTTACCAATTTTAATATCCTCCCTCCCTTTTCCCCTTTTTACCCCCTCCCCCGCAATCCAAACACTTCCTCTCAAGTGCTTCATCCTGTAAGGCAGATATGACAGGGTCATATGTGGGGGATTATTTTTCTTTCTTCACGATTGATAAAATTTGATCCTACTTACTTCTCCCTTACAGGGGTAAGGGCCCCCCCCCCACCTGCCCGCTCCACTTTACTTGAAGTAGTTTGCTCCCTCCGCAGCAGAAATGACGATATTTCTGGCAAATAATTTTTTACTTATGTTTAGGTACTGAAATACTGAATACATGGGAGCCACCCTCCTACTCTTCTCGTTCTCTTCCCCTCTTATTTGTCCCTCTTTTGCCTCGTTCTCTTTACTTTTCACTTTTCTTCTACTTTTTAATCTTTTTTTGTGGGAGTAATATAGTTATGCGAAGAGAAAGCGGAAGAGAATGTACCTTGGAAAGAATAAATTAGACATAGAAGTGGAAAGGGAAACAAGAAAAATATGAATAAGAAAAAATTCCTCACAGGAAACATCGTCATTTCTGCTGCGGAGGGAGCAAACTACTTCAAGTAAAGTGGAGCGGGCTTGTGGGGGGGGGATAATACAGGGGTAAGGGGGGCCCTTACCCCTGTAAGGGAGAAGTAAGTAGGGTCAAATTTTATCAATCGTGAAGAAAGAAAAATAATCCCCCACATATGACCCTGTCATATCTGCCTTACAGGATGAAGCACTTGAGAGGAAGTGTTTGGATTGCGGGGGAGGGGGTAAAAAGGGGAAAAGGGAGGGAGGATATTAAAATTGGTACAATGTAAAGAAGAAGAAAAATTCTCAACGGAAAATACCATCATGACCGCGGCGTGGAGAGAAGAGAACAAAGTAAAGTCAGTAAGATGCGCTAACGGTCATGGTAGTATGAATAAAGCCCTCCCTCCCCGCCCCCCGAAAAACCATTTGGGGCTTTATGAAAGATGTGGAAAAATACTACAGGAATAGCTGAACAAATTACCGAAAACCGCGCTTCAATATCTAGATCTAGTACCTCGTAACAGCCGATGTTCGACATTAAAACACCTGCGAAAATGGGTGAAAATCGGGGACTTTGCCCCCCCATAACTCGAAAATGGTGCGTATACTCAATCTGAAATTTTAGTAAGTGTAAAGAGTCACCCTAGGGATGAAAAAAAACCTCACTTCGACCCCAATTTCGAAGGCCCAAAAATGGGCCGTTTTTGGCCCTTTTTGTGCATGGCTCTTTCTCCAGTAAGTGGACTGTGAGGTTATGTACATCCAGCTATTCCTCATCATTTACAAATCTGTGTGTTACGTCAAAAATTTTGAAATCGATGCAGTTCGAACACAAAATGGTGTTTTAAAATGGAAGAACATTTTTGCCTATACATATGCGTATAGGGCCTGCGGGCCTGAGGGCGCGAGGCGCCCTCCCGGGGGTTGGGCCGCGTAGCGGTCAGGGAGCAGGGCCCCCTAGTATCATTTTAAGACAATCAACGCAGAAAACAATAGTGGATGACGTAATTTTGTTTTTTTTAAACGTTTCGTTTGCACTCAACCTCGCGAAAAGGATGAGCAATATTAACCACGTGACAGACCAGCCGACTCAGTTGCAATTTTTCTCTCACACGTATATGTGGCAACCGCCTCGGCAAGCAGTGTTACCAAATCCTCCCTGCATGTTACCAATTTTATCTCGAAGTGTATTTCGTAAAAGATCAAAGGTAATGTTGACAAAGGTAATGTTGACTGTTTGTTTTTTTTTAATACTTTTTGCATCGTGCTGCGATAAGAACCCCTAAAAAAATACAGGAGGCGGTGTCTCAATATGCCGCGGGAAAAACGTCATATCTCTGTCAAATTTTGACCAAAACAGCTTAACAAGGTCTCATTTTATCGGTCACGAATATGTACCCTGATTTTTTTTTAGCGTTTTCCGTTCACTCTAAAAGTCGATCGCTGCATTACTTTTTGGACAACCTATGTACGTATACTTTTTTGATATTTACACGCTTCCGAGTGGTAGCGGTGTGGGACTAATAACGCAGGTGGTTGGAGACGTTGCTTCTTTCATCGGTGAATTACTACATGTACTTCGAGAGAAATAAAAAGATGAGAAATTAACATAGAAAAAAACTAATACTATTACGAAATTTCTTCTGAATTACACTGCTCTAAACTTACTCAATGGGCGCAATTATAATTACATGATACAAACTACGATAATATGGTATCTATCTCCATATAAATATACATGTCGCACTCAAGTCAGCACTTTTCTGAGGATTTCCGCTGTGCCCAATATTGCTTTTTTCTGGATGCTTGCCATGAAGATCATTCCAGAGATTCCCTTAAGGAAGCCTGTCGATGCATCGGCCAGAAGATTGGAAACGTCGAATTTGAACTTAGACCCAAAGTCGACGGTTGATCATATTCCATCAGGTTACGTGTCTAGGTGTCTCTCACATCATATTCGAAGCTCAAGACCCGTCATCTTTAGTCCCAAGTCGAAATCCGACATGGAACTGTGGAAAACGCTAATTTGGGCTAATTTTAAAGCTAATTTGGGCTCCGAAGCCATGTTTAGGCCCCTTTTTTGCAGTCAAATAATGTGTGTCCGGCAAAACTCGACTATTTCTATTAAGTATGCATTGTCAACTGCGAAATATCCCAAAAATGATTCGATTCCGTGGAGGGGCCGCTTTCGCCCCGAATCGCAACCCCTCTTTTACCTTTAAATTCAGCTTTCTTAATTTTAATGTATTTCCTCCATTTAGGTTATGTATCAAGATCAAGATACAATCCTAAATATTTTGACCCATCGGAGAGAAATACACATAAGCGTCCGACAAAAAACGATCAAAATAAATAATTATCAGACTATAGATACATTTACCTAAAAAAAAATTTAAAAAATAAATTGAATACCGTTACCGCCACTTATTATCAATTTCACTCATCAACTCAGACCATATATTTCATTTGTGATTTTAATAATTGATATTAATGTGTGAACTCCCTATTGATAATCTCCTGATTTGCTGAAGATTAATATTTTTTTTTCTAACTTGATGCCTTTGTCCTTATCCATTTCCAGCAAAATTAGTTCCTGTAGGGTATGGAATCAACAAACTTCAAATAATGTGTGTTGTGGAAGACGACAAGATCTCAATTGAAGAACTTAGTGAAGAAATCCAAGAATTTGAGGACTTTGTGCAGTCTGTTGATATCGCTGCCTTCAACAAAATCTAGTGTTATTTTTTATCCAATGTACATTTTATTTTATTTTCTATGTAAATCAATCCATCAACCATTAAATTCCCAGCTTGTTACATTTTCTGCAATAAAGAACTAATTTTTACATTTTGTCATTTTTTGGAGAATAAAAGATCATAACGAGCACGGGAGAGTTTATAAATTACGTAAGGCTCTAGGAGGGAGAGAGAGTGTGAGCCTGCGTTATGAAGGGAAGTTCGTGTGATGTGTGAACCTACGTAACTAAGTAAGGGGGGAGGTGTCAGCGTTACGCAACCCTATTTATTCAAGCAAAACTCACCAAATCGTACGAAAAGTCGCCGCAGTAACATCAATCAATAAAATGCATTTTTCATCCTCTTTTTTCTTGACGGTATTGTCACAATATCATATAAAATGCTTCAAATGGTAACCTGTCGTTCAACGATTTCTCAAATTCTTCGGGACTCGAAAAGCCGCGGGGCATGTTAGCGTTACGTAATTATTGAAGGGGTTCCGTTAAAAAAATGTTTTACAAGTGTGGGAGGGAAGTTTAAAATGCCGGAAAATTGCCTTACGAAAATAGATGCTCCCCAAGATGCGGTGTCAGAGAAATGTTAGAATTTTTCTTCTTCTGTTTTGATCCTCTTACACGACATCCAGTCATTCTACTCTAATCAAAATTGCCTCAGTAGGTACTTATTTACGCGAGTCTGCTTTTTTTAATTCAACCCTTGTTTGCATTCGTGGTAAATGATATTGAGTATCCATTGAAAAAAGAAAAATAATACATAATGAAATAAATCAATAAGTTTGACAAAATCTGCAGCGCTTAAAGTGTCCGATCTCCAGCACGCAGCAAACATGAGGCAAATCTCGGGAGGTGGGGCAATGGCTCGGATGCGCCACTCACAAAATCACGTGTTGATGCTTGATTTCTGCTGATAAGCTAAAAGTAATAAAATCCTCCTAAACAGCAACTTTCTACGTTGAATATTCATCGAAATATCGCTCTTTGAAAAATCGGTTCATAACCTTATCCACCGCGGTAGCGACACCCATGGTTTCCTCCCCATTCCTCTCATCAGCTATGGAAAGACATATTTGCAGTGGTTACTCGACGTGTAGGGAAGCGCGATGAAAGCAAGGGACGTAGACGAGTTGGTTCCCGTTTGAAATCTGAATCGCCCTCCGCCGTGTTGGTCGAAGTAGTCCCCAAATCATAATCAGGTTAAATTCCAGTTGGCAACGCTGCATGCTCCAGAAGATTTTCCCTCCATTTTACACAGGCGTAGGACTGTCAATTGAAAAATCAGCATGGCCAAAAATGTGGGAGGCCGGTCATTCAAGATTCAAAAGAAGTTACATTAGTAAAAAAATTGTCCGTATAACTGCCGCACTAATAAAAGAGCTGCCGTAAAATTGGCGCTAAAACGAATATCACTTGCTCCTCAGTCAAACATGTTCATAAAAGTAAAAGTGGATTAATCGTCCAGGCAAATAAGCCAGAAAAGGGACCATAGCCTGCCAAAATCCCGGGTAGCAATGTTTTCTATGATTCCTGTTTAATTTTTGACGCTGAATCCGAATTTCAATTTTGCACCAAAAAATTCGGACCGGCAAGTTGCCAAATTTGGCAAAAATGGGCCTTTTTTCCGAATTATGACCTGTAATTTGCCTAAAATTGATCTGACGATTAAATCAGTCATTTTCAAAAATTTCCTATAAAAAAGTTCCATACACTTTTTTGGTCAAGGCAAAATCAAACGCGCTCGCGTTTTCCGAACTTTGAAAAATGAGCGAAAACTGCGCACACTGTAATGTGTTGGCTTCCTTATTATTTACATCAATTTATTTCACTTATTGTAAATTTTATCATGTTCACTTATTTTGTCCAGAAATTACTCGTCAGACGATTTCAAAAGGAGAAATCGGGCAAAAACCGCGAAAAACGCAATTTCTGCTCATTTTTCAAAGCTCGGTGCCTGCCTGCACGCTTGATTTTGACCTGAGCAAAAAAACGTATCGGAATTTTTATTAGGAAAAACGAGCTTTATTTTTGAAACTAACTAATTTTATTGTCAGATCAATTTTTGGCAAGTTACAGGCCATAATCCGGATTAACGGCCGATTTTGGGCCATTTTTGCCAAACTTGGCAACTTCCCGGTCCGAATTATTTGGTGCAAAGTTTAAATTCGGATTCAGCGTGAAAAATTACGCAGGAATTTATGATAGCATTATGGTTTGCTGTTAGGGTAAAAAGATATTCTAACAGAGAAAAAAAAATGATTTAGAAAAAATATTCTGGGCACTGATTAAAAAAACACATGATAGAGAAAAAATATTCAGGACTGAAAAAAAAGAAAGTGGTCGTGAAAAATAAGGAGACCCGAGAAAAAAAAATGAATGTTGTTCAACATTCTTGAAACATATATTTTGTCGATGAAAAATAATTAATCTCGGAACACTTATGGCCATGTTGCCAGGTTGTGCAATGATTCGGAGGAAATGTTTGTGAGATGAGTGATGACCAGAGTTAAGGAATTTCATGAAAGATAATAAAAAGAAATTTCATGAAATTTCGCGAAATTTCATTTAACACGCAGAATTCAGGATTAAACCCTTGAAACTTATGAATCTCCTTAAGTTCATTTATATGCACGTGGTAAACTGTGAAAGGGAACTTTAGAAATGCCCAGAAAGTTGAGTAAAACAGCAAAATCATAATTTTGAATTTTTTATCTTAAATTTTGGTTGAACACACAGCCGTACCGGTTGAACACCAAAATAAATTTTACGGATAAAGTAAGACGTTAGCTTTCATATTTGGAGCAAAACAAATTTCTTGACTATAAAGAATCCTAGTACCCCCTAATAGTATATCCTTCTTTTTTGGTACAAAAGGGAGGGATCTTGAACTATCTTTGAAACAATTTAAACGATTTTTTCATTTGTCTCTGATTTTTTCAGAAATTAACAGTTTGAAATTTGAGGTTAGGGTCCCCGGTCCCCCTCCCCATGATGAGCCAGAACTGCCAGAAGAGAAAGAGTAAGAGAAGACTAGAGTCCCTTTATACCCAGAGTAACGACAACTCGATTATCAGCTGACTGGCAGCCGACCTTGGCTGGCCATGGAGGCCGAAACTAGTGCACTCAAACGAACGATATTGGGGGATAAGGATCAGGAATCCTGCGATGTCTGTCACACAGAAACAACAACATCAACAAATTGATCAATTAAAAAGAAAATGAGATTGGTTTGTGAATAATTTCTTAATCTATTTTCATTTTGGACCGATGGCAATGACAATTTACTCTTGATAAACCACAATTAGGTAATATTTTCATTATTCTTGTTCACATACGAGGTACCGCCATCTTGGTGCTCTAGTTTCGGCCTCCATGAGCGAGAACCAATCAGAATTGGATTTTTTTTTAGGCCACTTTCAGCCCAATCCTGGCCCAACCAAATGTGAGTTGTCGTAACTCTGGGTATAAAGGGACTCTAGAGAAGACCAGAAGAGAAGAGCTGAGAGAAGACCGCGCTCCAACTGGTCTAATTGACGAATATTACTTGTTCCCGCCGGACACCGGTAGGTCGCGGCACCTAATACCGCTGTACCTAATCCTTGTTATCACCGCCGCGTCTCCTTTCCCCCCTTCGCGCCGCGCCTACCTCGAACCGCGGCTAGCGATTTTCAGCACTGAATTCAGTACTGATTGGGTAACCACCGAGTTTTCGTGAATCAGTCGCGTTCTCTGTTTTTCTCGTCTTTTGCTTGCCGTATGTAAGTGCTACGTATTTCCGCTGTACGCTCTTTTCTTTTCTCCTATATTTATTTATTTGCTTACCGCCGCTTTCTGAATGTTAAAGTGCTTAACGCCGTAAATCATATAGGTATCATATTAGGATAGTTCATGCGAGCATGGCTATCTTAAGTAAGGCTAATCTTTAAGTCATTGCTGTTTTGTGTTGTTGTAATTTTCAGCTGCCATTCTTAACCTTCTTAATATCCCTCTGTTGAGAATTTTTTTGCTGCTTTTGCTCTTCTCGAATATCATTACGCCCAAAAATGCCTGCGTCTGACCACGAGAATGATGGAGCCGATGCCTCGCAAAACCTCATGGATCGACGGGAATTGCTTATTGCCAAGAGGGAGAGGTGGTTTGCCGCTGCCAACAAGCTGTTTAAATCATCAACCGATGTCACCGCGAAGAATCATCACCGGTACAAAGGTCATCAAAATCGGCTCATCAGCATTCAACGAGAGTATGATCAGGTGCAAGAAGACATTCTTGCTCTGAATCTAAAACTTCAGCCAAACGCCCAAGTGGACACGGACGCGCCGCAAAAGGCCTTTGACGAAATGGTGGAAATGGCCCTACTCAACTACTTGGCCTTTGACTTCCCAGCCGCTTCGACTCCCGCCGAGAAACCCGCCGCTAAAAAGCTAGTATCCCTGCCAAAATTAAGTATTCCCAAGTTCAACGGAGATCTAGACGGCTGGCATCCGTTCATCAATCTATTCAATGCGAACATTCATGAGGATCAGACAATTACGCCTGCAACCAAATTTTCTTACCTGCTCACTCTCCTCACAGGTGAACCATTGAACCTGGTACAATCGCTGCCACTCACGGATGCCAATTATGAGGTGGCGTATTTTCTGCTGGTCGAGAGGTATCAGACAGAAAAGCGCCACATTTTTCATAATTTTCAGGGCCTGCTCGATTTACCCGCCGTAAAGGACAGCAATGGATTGCCGCCGTTCTTAACAGAGGTGCAACAGCATATGCATGCGTTGGCCGCTCTGGGGATTCCAGACACCATGTATGGACCCATGCTGGTCACGGTCCTGCACGAAAAGTTATCAAACTACTTCCGCCGACGTTTGGATGACTTCCGAGAAGAACCGACGAACTATCCCGCTCTGGAGGAAATGATTAACTTCCTCAAAGCTGAGTGCTCACTCATTTTCGACTCTCCTCCTCAGCAGAAGAAGAAGCAAGAGAAAACTTCGAATGCTTTGGTCGTGGCTGGAGATAAACCAAAGTCTTCGCCATCTCCTAAAAAACCTGACGTCAGCAGCAAAAAGAAGCCTGCAGATTCTAAGCAGACTCTAAAA